AAATAAATAAATCTTAAAAAAAAAAAAAAGAAAAAAAAAAAGAAAAGTCTGTTTGCGCCCCTTCATGTATGAATTGCCTTGTAACAAACCAATGAACTTCAGCCAAGTCCACATTTGCCTTTAACCCCAAGCCAATAAAATCTAACCCCGTTGTTCTCAACCCTAGACCCCCAAACCTATAAAGCTCATTTCCTTTCTTAACCTAATTAGAGTTTGTCTGTCTTCTCCCTGCCAATCGATTGGCAATTAAGTTTCTTTCTCTTGTCAAGCCCTGGTTTCCTGGTATTGGCCTATGTGCACATCAGGCAGCGAGCTCAGGGCTTGACAACAGAATGTTTCTGATGTCACTATTTGTGTGCCAGGTCTCTACTGCCCCTGTGCACATTTTGGAATTAGACCCATGCACTGTTTGTGCAGGTAAAAGGTGGTTGTGGGAGGAAGGGCCAAGGACAAGTCACCTCCCTTTTCAGCCTTTGTCAATCTAACTTGCCAGCTACTAAAGGGAGAGTATTAAATGAGTAATAGCAAATAGTTCAATGGATTTACACCAAGCCTCTCTGTAAAGAGTTTGTAGGATACCCCCATCCCCCGCCCCAACCTCACCTACGGTGGCTCAGCTTGGGACACAGATTTCCACCAAAAAAGCACAGACGAAATAAAAGGATAAAAAGATCAGGACACAAGTCAAATGTGCAAGTTGTTCCTAGTCTAGCTGACCCTGATCTCTGACTCTCCTTCCACTATGGTCTCTTTTCACCCACCTCCATACCTATTAAAAAAAATAATCCATGGGAATCAGTATTCTCTCTAAACTCTGCTGTCCCCTGGTCCAGCCTAACTCCCAGCTTCATCTTCACTGGACTCCAGGCCCTTGCAAAAGACTATAGCCTTTCCCTGAACTTCCCACCTAGACCTTTTACTTTTACTTAGATTTGAATGCAGACACTTCCATTCAATTGCACGTTCACTCAATTAGAGGCAGTGAATGAAGCACAAGGAATGAACCACAGGACGCCTCATTTCAGCAGTCTCCTGATAGCCTTCTCAACTCTAGGAAGCTGCTAGCTTCAACCAAGTATGCTGCTACATGTGAAAAAGAGAAACGTTACCATAGTCAAGAGCATCATGGTGGAAAATGCACTATTTCCAGTCGTTGAGGATGACAATGATGACTGTGTGCCAGAGTCCAAGGCATGGCACTGAGTACAGAGCGCTGTGCAGTGGACTGTGAGAACCTGGCCTTGGTAATCCCGGAAGGCCACTGACAGGAGACAGGTCCTGCCATCTTGTTTCCTCCCCATTAACCACAGCATCCCAACCATAAGAGGGATAACCTTTTCATGTAGAATTACACATCACCTCCTCGACTTCCCTGAATGCAGCTCCCATAGTTTAATAAGGAAGTAGTTGCTTTCGCCAGGCGAGGCTGGCCACCCCCAGCCCACGTGACTGCCTTCCTGTCACCAGGGAAATAATTCCTGAACAATTCCAGGCAACATAAAAATAGCATCTCCCTGTCTACTGATCAAGGAAAGCTAAGAGAAGGGTGTCTTCAGAGACTGCTCAGGCTTGCTCGTCTCATCATGTGCTGCAAATCAAGTTCAAACATTGCAAAGACTGATTCATTCCTCAGGCCAAGTCTCCATTTTCTTCCCTTAAGGAAAGTCTGGAAAGATATTGCAAATAAAGCCCTCAGGACCAGGGGCTGGAATTCCACCAGTCGCTCACCCCCCGCCTTCCCAAACCAACCTTGACTTGCAGTGGAGGAGCGGGGAAGCCGCAGCTGGGGTGTGGTGTGGAACCGTCTTAGGGAGTGGATCTCTGAACTTAGAATCGTGGCCAACAAATCGATTTAGGCAACGTAACTATTAATATGACCTCACAAAAGCAGATGGAGATAGAGATGGAACAGAGGTGTCAGTGTAGACAGGTGGATTAGCTGGACATGTAGAGCCTCCCACATGGAGCTCTGCCAGTGGACAGAGGAGGCACTTCCCAACCATTCTGTGAGGGGAAGGAATCACATTCGATGAATTACATAGTTACCCTCAGGATGCCTGCTGTGGAGAAGCAATACAGATGCTTTAAAAATGGATGCTGACATCTGATCCTTTCTGGGGACCGGAATCAGCTGTTTGAACTTAGCTTCAACACCCATCAGCACCCATCAGCACCCATCAGCACCCATCAGCACACTCTCAACACTTTCCTGGCAGTGCTGGGGACTCCTTCCAGGTGGTAGTCTGCAATCCCTCACACGGACCACAGAGGAGACAGCCAGTGCTCTGTGGGATATACACATGCCATGTCCTGAGGCAGAAAGGAAGGTAACCAGGACCTGTCCTCAGACCTCATGTCATCAGATTCCTGCCTCAATAGCACCAGCCCAGCCCCCACACCCCTAAGTAGCCACCAAAATGAAGATACTGGTCTCAACTTGGCTCTCCACATCCTTTAAAACCAAACCAATCTTCTCCCTCCTAAATCTTTGCTTGGTGCCTCCTTGAATTCATAGTCTTTTATTAACTCACACCAGATCGCCAGCCTCCACTCAGCATCCACATTTCCTCTGGGCCTTACTGAAACTTGACCCTCTCCTAGGTTATAACCCCTGAAGTCTTCTCAAGGGGTGGCTCTTTTCTCTCCCATACGTCATTCTTCGCTGCTCTTCACTGCTGATTCTGGAAGCTCCCTGATAAACTATGAGGAGTACACACACACACACACACACACACACTCACTCACACACACACACTGGAAATCCCACCTCTAAGGTTATACAACAAGCTAATAACATTACTATGATGATTACCCTGTGCCAGCCACTGATTTAATTTAGCTCTCAACAAAGCTATGTGCTGCATGTATTCCCATCCTTGTTTTACAATGCACTTAAGGTACTGGGATGACAGTAAGTTAGCTGTCCACAGTCAAGCATCTAGAAAATACCAGAGCTAGGATTTGAACCTGGGAAGTCGGGCTCTCTTAATAGTGGTGTCTTCTTGCCTCCCACCATTTGGTGCTCTTATCTTCAGTCTTTCTCTAAATCACTGGCCTTCCAGTGACTTTATTAGTTCTGTCATTGACCGTAGGGCCTCAGTAGATTTGGGAGAGCCCATCAACACCACTCCCTCTTTGCCCACTGGCTCTTGTCCTTTCTTTCACCTTCCTAGTCTCAGGTGCAAGCTTCTCACACTGTGATGGCTGCCTCTCATCTTTGCACTGCAGAGCTTCAGCACCTCCACCCTGCATGTTTCCACCACACTTGAACTCACTCCTGACTCACCTGGACCCCTGGTTCATCCTTACAACAGCCCCCTGCACCCACACACCCTGTGTTTTCCTGCCCCTTTCTTCCTCCATCTTTCCTGCTTGACACATTCTAATCCAGGTAGATCTAGTTTTTCGCCGATATTCACAAGTCCGTGCAGGTGACCCTGGAGAAAATATGACATCGGGCTTAGGTGAAATTCATGAAGGTGAGCCCCAGCATCACCTATTACTCTATATTTCACTAATCAGTTATTTTGCCCACTTCAAGGTAACAATTTCACTTACTCGCTTCCCCCCACAAACATGAAGCATCACCCACTTAATCTTGCACAGGTGATAACCTTGCCTCCTGCTTTCTGAGTGAATCCATAAAAGATATGACGAATCCGTGAAAAAGAGCATCCTCATCCTGCCTGGTGGCCTCTGACCGCGAGTGCCCGTGCTCACACGCCCATCCCCCTGCTTCCAGAGGATGGAAGTCTCTGCGCGGTCCTTAAAATTTCACAGGATAATTGACTCTCATCACTTAAAGATTCAAGTATACATTCTGAAAATTTCAACAAAAGAAAACCCAAAAGGAACCTATATCCAAATTTTTTATATTTAATTTTTCAGCTTAGCTACTGTTTTCCTCTCGGGATCTAGCCCAGTGGCTTAGTCTTCCCAAAGTAATTGCGCACCTATCAACACAATTGATTGCTGAAATAAGTAATAGATGCACATCCTCACTTTCTGATTGGATTCCCATAATGAATTCTGCAATTCTCAGCATATTGAGTTTTTAAATTATTAATCACGTACATCATCCGAAAACACATCCATAACACACGACGTATAATATGGAGACGGCAAACAGCGCCCAGGTGTCCGAAGCTTCCGGAGACAACAGAAACCAGAGAGGGGAGCTGAGCTGCTAGTGGGTCACCCAGGACGAAAGACCAAAATGAGATTTAAAAAGGACTTTTAAGATTTAATCCGACTTTTATGCACTTACCTGCTGTAGAGTTTTGTGTGATTAGTAACAAATAATTTTCTTCAATTTCCCACCCCACTCTTACTAGAGAAAGCATTATGAGTTCTTCTAGAAGGATGGCTATGGCTGTTTAAATCAACATTATTATCAGCTTTACAGATTAGGATTCAAATAGCACACTAACTTAAAAAAACTCTTGCTGTCTATGTGCAAGTATCAGAGAGGTTGATGAGAAACCTCAGGAGCCTCAGCCGGGATCATTCTGTGCCTATTCACCTCCCACTTCAGCAGACCGGCGCCCCAGGTGTACAGGAAGGTGACATGAAGCTCAGGTTGCTGGGGGAGCTGGTGCATAGCCACCCCAGCTCAGGGGACGGCTTGAAAGGAAACGAGCGCATTCCAAACCCACAGAGCCGGCAAGAATTCCTACAGCCGGTTACCAAACTCTTTCCCTTTTTTCTCCAAAAGATCTTCTACACCAGTTTCAACCTCGTTATTACTACTTTAATTCTCTGTGCCTTGACAACATTCCTCTCACAGGGATGACAGTGCTTCCCAGAGAGCCCCCGGCCCGCCCGCTCACGCAGAGTTCACGGCCAGCACACCGCCCTGCGCACCACTTGGCCGCTGCCTGCTCAGAGGCACTCCAGACCGCTGCTTGCCCCTGCGAGCTGCTAAGGCAGGTCTCCACAGCCACAGGAGTACTGAGGCTCCTGGGCCCTGACTGGCCTCTCCAGCCATCTCTCCCCTTACCTTTCAGTGGGTCCCACACGAGCTTCTACGTCCTCTGCCCTGTGCTCCGCGCCCCTGCACCTACCACACATACGAGCACGTCCACCACACCAACTCCACAGCGCCTTCACCCATGCGGGTCCTGCCCGTGAGTGGCTCCGAGGAGCAGGGAGTACGTTCTCAGGGGTTCCGCAGCACCTGCACAGACACGGACACAGAGCAGTGGCCTGTTAGCCAGAGAACTACCCAGGAGGCATCTGCTGATTCCGTTTCCAAAAAGTACACATTGAGATAAACTGCCATAAAAACCAGCCGCAGAATATTACACATATACTATAATACAACATTACCTGTAACATGCATGCTATTAATATTACATGTAGCATACCTATATGTATTACATACATGGCATATATACTATATGTGATATGGGGCTATATTGAAGTTACATTTAGAACAAATATTTTATAGAAACTTAAGTAGTATATGTGATATATATATATATATATATAAATGATTACCTAATATCATATACACCATGCATAGCGTGCACAGGTGTAGCATGTGTGGTGTGTATATACATACCACACTGGACATACACACAGACTATCCTGAAGTTACAGGAATGTTACTGGGTTGCTGGAAGAGTCATGACATATTTGTTCTGTTTTTCAAGCAAAATGTGTCATGACTTTTCTGACAACCCAGTATAATAAATGTTTCATGCTCATCTATAATAGTTTTTGTAACAGACTTTTTAATACATGTATAATAGAGTTACAGCCCTTATTTAAAGGATCTTTGTGGATCTCCGAAAGGACTCTAATGGGCACATTTATTCTCTTCTCTTTTTCCTTCTCCATTGAGACTTTGGCAATATCCTCTATTGCACACCAAGGGCAACAGTCAGGAAGGTGTTCCGTGTCCTCTGGAAATGCGTGCCCAACAGCATCTCAGAACACTTTTCTCTACAGCAGTGCCTTGCATAGGCCTGTGGACCTGAGTGCTCATAACTGCTTGTCAACTGACTGCGTTTTTGATGACTCACTCAACAGAAGACTCCATTTCTGAAATAGGCTCACAACATCTTCAGGAATTAGATGGAGATGGTATTTCCCAGGGCAACCCCTCATTCTAACTTTGTGGATTGACGTGCTGAGCAGGAAGCTGACGATTTGAGTTTCCCTTTCCCGGTTGTGCTGTGTGGAGAGGCAGCCCCCCAGGGGCCCTGCGGCCCAGCTAGTAGGGGTTTCCTCGGGATGGCAAAGATGCTAGAGCTAGAAGCAGTTTTAGAAAGCCTCTCCTTTAACCATTCACCCTTCCAACGAGGATGTGGCCCCAGAGAAGACACAGATCCAGGCAAGAATCAGCTGTCCTCATCCCCACCTCCCTTATCTCCATTTCAATCATGAAGGATGGCGAAACACCCGCCAATCCTGGAGCTGAATAGAACGTACAGATGGTTGATTATTCTTCGCTTTAGCACTTCCAGTAATTGGGAAACAGCTCTTCCTACAATGGAATGCCTCTAAAAATTAGAAATGTTCTTTGAAAGAGTAATTCTCGGTGTCTTACATTGAGTCACAATCGGCCTTCCCACCACTCTGAGGAACAGCCCCAGCCTGGATCCGAACACACAGTAACAACCCGCCCTTCCCTGCCCTCCACCCTCCCTGGGCAGCTGTTTCAAGCAGCTCCTCAGCCCCAGGGTCCCTTTCCCCAGTTCCTCCATTCCCGTCTATGGCCAGTCTCCCTCTGTTGTGATAACGATCTGCTTAGAATTTTGCCCTCGGATCTGTTTGGATGGTTTCAGTTAAAGGTGATTTACAGAAACCTCAATTTAGGTTATAAAGAACAACTAACAACACAGGCTTCAGGGCGATTGAGGCAGAGTTTGGTCAGGGCTGGGGGTCCTCCTTCCTGTACTTGGCTGCTCTGCCTCTATCTCTGTGCTCACTCTCTCCCCAGACTGACTTCCCTCCCAGTGGCTGGATGCCTGCCAGCAGCAATTAGTGCTGCCTGATGCCTCATTCAGCAGGAGAGGCAGGCTGCTTCCCATTAACTGCTGGGAAAAAGAAAACACTCAGATTTACATCAATAGGCCACCCCTGAACCAACGCCTGAAACCAGGGGAATACCGCACACTGATAAGCTTAGGTCTGGATTAATTAAACCAATTACAGTGGAGAGGAAGACAGAGTTTTCCTGACTGGCCTTAGCTGGGCATGGCCTCCCCGTGAAGCAGGCGAGGCCCGATCCAATCCAACTTATTGCTGGCACCAACAGGGCAGGTGGAAGGGACATGAAGGGCATCACATCTTCTGCCCACCCACTCTCACTGTGTGTGATCCTCAGGGAGGGTCTAAGGAGGGGCCAAGCTCTGCGAGATATTAGAGTCCATCTTAAAGCCACTCCTCTCATTCTGGGAACTGTTCTTCTAGCCACACAATCTTAGCTTGAACCCACTTTTCTTTTAAGCATGTACAATTTTGGAGTTTATGGTTAGCAAAAGCACCTAACGTGTTCTGTGTTTTGCTTTGTGTTACTTTGAGGTAGAGTTCCAAAATGCCCCAAATGCACTGTCAGGTTACTGAACTTAAAAGTCAAAACCTGATGTGCGTGACTGTCACGAGCTCTAAGTCCGGATGTTCGTGCGCAGTTCTATCCATGAAGACATTCCGAATCCTGTCCCTATGGGTCAATATATTAGCGTATGCTTTCCAGAATGGTGTCTCGTGCCCAGATTAGATTTTCAAATGTGACCAAGACAAGGCTAAGGCCAGAACCCTGGGACACCAATGTGACAGGTGACAGGACATTACTCCCCCAGCGGCACCGCCACTGTCCTCCAGGTTCCTTTCCGCGCCAGTCCTCATGGACTGGGCCAGCTATTGTGGAGTCCTGACTCCACAAAGACACTGCCACTCCCCAACTCCCCAAGCCTCCCAGGCCACTCAGTCTGCAGGAAAACAATAAGGCTGATATGGCAGGAATGTTCTCTCTGCTCTCGGACTGGATCCTATAGGTGCTCTCATTATTTTCTAAGTATTCTCAATTCCTTGTTAGAATAATCCATCCCACAATGCAATTAAACATCCACATTGCTCATCTAATAGTTTCTAGAGTCTACCTTTTTGCCCTTTGAGAGAACCGGGGCAATGTTTGCTCAGATCACATCTTTGGGTACACCCATCCCTTCTCTGCTATTTCTGGAGATTACTGCCAGTCATTCTGTGATTACATCTGTAAGTCCTTTAGACACCTTGGAATGTAATTTGTCTATGACTGCAAACTTGGATTTATTTGAAAAATGTCTGGGTGGCTTCTTACAATGTTTTCTTTTCTTTATTTTTTAAATAACTTTCCCATAGTGGGAACATATGCATAATGGGAGAGGGAGGAGGCTGCCTACCTGCTCTGTGTATTTCTGTGCATTTCTCCTGTTGGTTGGGGAGATCCAGGCAGGCCTCTTCTGACTATGACCCCAGCCTGTACTAAGTCCTCTCCACTGGGAGCTGTCTTCTACCCCACCTTTTTTCTATCTTTTATTCATCATTGAGTCCTAGAAATAATCTCCCTGAGAAGCCTTCCTTGACCCTCCAAAAGTAAATTAGGCACCTCTCCTGTGTCCTGTCAAACTCACACTGGCCCTTCTGTGGAACTGGGCACGCTGGATTACAACTGTTACCATGCCTGCATCTCTCATGTAACGGTAAGTAGCTAGAGGAGGGACGAAATCTGATTCTTTTCCTGCAGAGAATCTCATAGAGCTTGGTACTAAAGGCGTTATTACTAATATTAATAATTGTTAAATGAATTAAAACCAAACGACCCTTTCTGTTCATTTTGCATTTTTTTCCAATTCTTATATTATTCTCAATGTTTCTTTCCTGCCTCATCACTGGACAAGTTTTCTTGATGACCAAAGTAAATCTAGAGTGGACATTTCCTTAAAGTTTGTCACAATAAGAGGGCCTCTGAGGTGCTCATTCTTAGGAAAACTCAAAATAATATTTCTTATGAAAACAGAAAGGAAAAATACTCTAATATCCATACAAGTTGAATCAGAAAACCACACTTCACTATAAGTTCCTTTCTGAGGCATGTAGAGTATATTCCTAGAAACACAGGAAAAATAGGGCCTCCCCGGTGGCGCAGTGGGTTGTGTGCAGTGCTGTGAAGCTGTCCACAGCCTCTGCAGCGCTGGTTCAATTCCTGGCTGGCCGGTGAGGGTCCCACATGGCTCAGCAGACCTCTCCTGTCTTGCCCGCTGCTCCCCTCAGCAGTGTATTTCTGCCTGTTCTGCTCCCTGCTCCGTCTCTGGTGAATTCTCTCACCCTCCCGCGCCTCTGGCCTGTACCCAGTGCTTGTATGGATAAATAAATCTTTAAAAAAATAATAATGAAAATGAAAAAAACACAGGGAAATAAAAACCAGGTAAGCATTTTTGCAAAGACAAAATGAAACAAAAGTCCTGGTTTAGGGTTAAAAAAACATCTTTCAGTCATTAAGCTTAATAATAATAATCTGAAAGCTTTTTTTTTAATCAAATGTACTCAGTAAATTTTACATAGTCTTTTAGCTCTTCTGTTTTATCAAGGGTATTTCCTACTGATAAACTTTTCTTACAACAACAAACCTCCTTAGCTTATTCAATTTGTCACCTGTTCAATGGTTTATAAAATTTTAAAGGTAATGGTATAACAAACTCAAATAATGATATTTCATATTTATAAGTGCATCCTGGGATGAATAAATAATGAAGACACAGCCAGCTTCTATTAAAGGTATATTTGTCCGAATGTTTAAGAAGTTATCTACCCACAGGGAGGTGCAATGCTTCTGATTTCATCTGATCTTACAATTTAAGTAGATTTAATTCAGGATGGTTGGTAACAAAAATATCTGCTTTTTCTTTTTTTGTGCTAAGGACTGGCTGTGCAACAACTGTCTTGATCTCTTGCCACAGATGAGCTACTCCAGCGTTTCCTCAAACTACCTTGACTATGTCTACATGCCAGCTGAACACGGTTCTTACCACATTCATCAGTCAAAGCCTTTTAGGAGCAACTACAATGGGCTGAGACCCAAAGTATGTTTCTCAGATTAGGGGATAGAGAGAAAAATTGTTGCTGATTGCTACAATTGAAACTTCCAGTACAAATTATTATTTAGCTAAGTGAAATGACAGATCCTAA